TATGTGAGGAAAAGCTGTCTGAGAAAGCTTGGGGATCTTTGCCTACTCAATCCACGCTTCTGATGTGACCATCTTTAAGTCACTCGTATGTGGGCAGATGTTTTACAATTAAAAATTAGGAAACACATTGAAAATTGCTGTTTCTCTTGAGTGCCTGCGATTGGAAACCTGAAGTTAGTTCTTTGCCTGCCCTGGAAGAAATTATTCTACAGTCACAGCAAGTGATGCAGCTCCCCACTGTGCTCTTAGGTAAAATTTCTCACAGGGAGGATATAAAATTGTTAGTCTTAGCAAGTTGAAAGGGGGAGGAATCCTTTTGTTTGATAGCTAAGCTATTTATTAAGAAGCTTGTGCGCGTTCTGTTTGGTTGGGTTTGTTTGTTTTACTTCTGAACTGAGCAGAAACTCTCTATATTCAGCATATGAAATTTTTAGCATTAAATATGAGGAGGGGCTGTGGGTTATTCCATAAAGAGGTTTGAGCCAAAGCATCTTACACTTCTCTTCCATTTTTTCTTTGCAGTAGACTTGGGGAAGAACAAAGCAGGCCATGTGAAACTCAGTTACCTTATTTTCTTCCTTTTCTTTTTAAAACAGAAGCCAGCTGCTTCTGACACGTTCGGTTTTTAATTTGCTTTTCTGTAGAAGCAGATCCTACATACAGCAGGGTGGGGGGGATGCTGAGGAGCCAGCAGCTCCCCCAAAGCCCTATTCGAGTTTTCTGTGATATTGATTTTTATTTTCTGGAACACAAGGGATGCACACGCCGTGCTCTGCAGTCCACCAGAAGTTTTTTGGGGCTTGGCTGGAGGGCTTTGTTCGAGCAGAGCACACGCTTGTTCACACAGGCTTTTTTTTTTCCCCAAAATAACCCAGCTTTTGCCACAGAGCTGGGCACGCTGCCCTCGGGGGCATTCTGCTTCTTCAGAGTAGAGGAGACAAAGTTATGCTAAAGGACTTGGCTCACATGGGTCCCTTCAGGGCTTTAATTGTCTAGGGATATGGTTAATAGTCAAGGTTAATAAAATATTTGACACAGCCGTGCCAGTCTTGCTCAGAAGCTGCTCGTTGTAATGGATGTAGAGGGCCTGGAACAATGAACTCTAGTGGGAACGTGAAGGAAGAGATTTAAATTTCTTTTCCCCAGTGGGAATGTTTCCAAATCCATGATGGTTGAATCTGCCTGTCCTTTTCTCACACAAGGTGTGGCAGCTTTGAGCCAACCTCTCCACACGTGCCAGGAGAACTGCCCCCGAGGAGTTGCTGGCCGTGTCCTCCATCTCAGAGAGTGTCTCTGTGCTGGGGCAGGGGGGAGGGAAGGCCCCAGAACACAATCTTCTCCCCATCTTCCAGCTTTCTGGCTCCCTTCTTCCTTTTCCCAGAGCTCCTGCACTGCTTCCTACCACACTGCCACTGTCGCTGGAGTTTTTTGTTCCTGAGGAGGGCTGAAAGTTGCTGCTTTCTGTTGTCCATCCTCCCTGAAGGAATTTTTCCTTCTTTTGTGGAACTTATAAAAATTTTGTGGGGAGAGTCACTGATCTGAGTTATTAAAACTTGGTTTTAATTAAACAACATCTTAAGTCAATCACTGCACCAGGTACTGCTAATACCTATAAGGGGTGTAGCTGCTTTTACTCCTTTCTGCTGTATTTTTCATCACCTTTCTCCTCCCCTAGCAATGTTAAATTGGTTACTCCATTGCATGCAGGTTTTGTCTCTTACCTGTATAGGACATAGAAACCAAAATATACTCCTGAGCATCCAGAAAGAACATTTTGCTTCTTGTGAAGAGTTTTCATTTACTGGGGAAAATGAGTATTGAGGTGTATTCTTGGTTCCTATATATATTCGGAGACTAAAATGCAATTTTCAACCACTAGCCTTTACTTTAAAGATGTCACCACAGATCAGTTTAATATATCTACAACTTTTTTTGCACTATATGGTCTTTTTACAGATGCACAGCACCTATTCACAGTCAGACTTTGGTGAATTTGAAAAGAATTCATCATCTTGTAAGACTGCTATCCCAAACTGGATTTGTGAGCTTTTTAAAATAACTTTAATCATTATCCTCAGCCTAAAATAGGCTACAATAACAAGTGTCTCTTGTAAATAAAATAAAAATAGCTAGGTGTTGGGTGTTGAAGTTATGCTTTCTTTACGTGCAGAAATTTGGCCCCAAATGAATTATCTGATTGCTGTCATGGTTATTTTCCTACTATTTTAATAAATGCCATATCAGTATTTTAAAATACTTTCAAAATTACTTGTTAAACTTGAGATTGCAGGAGTTGGCTCTCTCTGTAGGATTATCTCTGCAATTTCTCCTTAACAGGAAATGATTTATAGCTCTCGATTCTCAGTCCTCTGTTAGAGATTCTGCAGTGGGTCAGAAACAACCCAAAACAACCCCAGCAAGAAGGAGCAGAAGAATGAGATTGTTTTCACAGAGCTGCTTTCTGCAGGGAACTAAATTTTGCAAACATCCAACCAGTGTTTTCCTTGAATATTTTGCATTTCAATGCATTTCATTTCTGCTCTTTACATTTGTCTTTAAGTAGTTCAGCAGCTATTTAGCAACTGTTTTCACTCATCTTTTAACATCCACCCATCTTTACTGTTAGGCACTGCTCGAATTCATCCCTAGCAAGAGGAGCTGTTGTAGGAACTGTTTAATAAATATCATTTGCATAACATCCTGGAAGTTTTTTTTTTCAGCGTGTGTTCACTGGAATGTGCAGCGTTGCTGAGGAACCTTTTGCATTTTGCTGCTTTGCTTCCTCTAAAGACCTGGTTCTTCTACAGCAATCAGTTTGTTTGCTTACTTTTGGAGGTGACAGTGGAATCTGGAAGTTGACCCTTGAGATGAGACTTCACATCACTCACAGGGAGTGAATACAAGGTTAATCTCCTCATGGGTGTCCATAGACTTACTAGCAGGTGCAGTGTGCATTAAAAAGTATGTTTTTCTTCATGCTGTGCACATTATTCTGTAGGATGTTTGGGGTTTTTTTTTAGTGCATCCTTCTGAAGCTACATAAAGGTACTAAATCTTCAGGCTTTAGCTGTGCTGACTGTAACCAAAATGATCAATTCCAACTTACAGTTCTACATAATATCTAACAAAAAAATTCCCTACACACTCATTGGAACGGGTAATTACTGTAGCAACTACAGACTAATTTGAAGTGTTAGCTGTTAATTAAACCACTACAGAGGTGTACGGTTGTCTTTTGGTGTAACCAAAGCTCCTATTCAAACTTCATTAATCACTTTACAGTTATTGTGTTGAGGAAGGTCAGGACAGTCGAGATGCCTGGATCAGCCTGGAGTAAACAAATTCCTTTCCTGCCAGGTAGCAAAGGCACTGGCCACGCCGTACCCGTGGGCATGGCATCTCCTTTGTGATCCAATTCTCAGCCATAATTAAATGTTAAATTGGTACTGTCAGTGCTCTGTAAACCAAACCAGGTATCTGCCCTCTGCTGGAAATTTAACCCATGCTTCCACGGATGAATTAGCGTGCATCATAATTAAATAATCAAGTCTTCCCTTTTAATTCGCTTGGAAACAGGAGATCTCTCGTATGGAAAAAAGATCAGCTTTCTTGACAAGCTAATTAAGTTGCCAAACTGTCCAGCACAGTACTTATTAAGGGAACAGACGCTGAGCATCCTATCTCAACCTGTTCATTTTCTTATCATTTCTGCTGATCTGAAGTCCATAATGTTTGGCCACTGTTGGTTCATCCATAGTTACAGGAGAGTTCATTGACTCCGTGGGATTCATTGATTATACATTCAGTTCCCAGTCTGTCAGAGCTTCACCTTCTTGCCTCTTGTGCTGGGATTAAATAACACTGATTTTTGGTGTGCCTTTTAAAACTGTGTTTATTCCTAAAAGCTAAGGCCATGTGGCTATATAAATCTTTATCCCTGAGTTATTAAGTTTTTAGAAACTTCTGAGCTAATAACAGAAAGTATATAAGCACTCAAGGTTCTAAATAAGATTAATCAACAGTCTTGCTCTGTCCTGTGTTTGATTTTGCACACACAAAAAAAAACACTATTAAAGCTTTTCTTCTTCAGTAATAATTGCTAGAGGTATGTAGTGGTAAAATATTACAGTTCTTTAAAGTCAGTGCCACGTATGTGACATTACTGTGCATGGTGTCATAAATCAGTATGAGACAATAAAACTAGTCAAGGGGAAAAGCTTTAATGGTTTTGTTTTTATGCAAAATTACATCAGATTTTTAGTAGACTTTTTTTTTTTCGCCTACCTTTTTATTTTCTTGTGTGTTCATGGTTAGGAATGCACAAGTCATTGTTAAATAGCAATTATAAATGTTTGTCTTCAGAAATTGAGAAATTTGCTTTTGAAATACTCTGGAAAATTATTTGGGGTACGTGTGAGCATTAACAATCATGTTTTCTAATCTTACATGTGCACCCACACGCTGATTTTAGATACAAATGCAGAAAGGTCCTTTTGTGAGTATCTTCTGTGTGTCCTTAGGTTCTGATAAAGAATCAGTCACTACCTGCTTTACTTCATTTTGACAGATATCTCTGCCTTTCTCACTGTCCTACCACTGAAAATATTTGTAGGACTGGCAAACTTGGGGGATAAACCTTGTTTTACATGAAGATCCTGTATACTGGGTATATCATCATTTTATTTCATTGAAAGAAAAGATAAAAGTGGATCAATTCATACTTTTCAGTTTGCCACCCTGCTGTACAAAGGTCTTCAGTGTGTAGATTTCCTAGAAAACACACAAATGTAAAAACCTGCTAAATGGTTCTGTTGTAAGTATATGCTTTTGATCAATTGTTTTCATCAGCCCCTCTCTAGAAACACTACATGAAATTGGTTTAATGTAAAAACCTATTAGCTCCAAGTCATATTTCTGTGAAATTAGCGTGCACATGTTGCACATATGTATAGAGGTAATTTTATGTGATCTCAAGTTATTTAATCTTTTCCCTCATGCAGGGCATATCACGTCCCCAGTGGAAAAATACTAGCAGTAAAGGTAAGATATTACAGTAATTTTCTTTCTCTCTTTTTTACTCTCCATTCTTCCCTTGACCTTGGTTTCTTTCCCCTCCCTTTGACTGTTAGATCTCCATTTGTTTTCTCATGTCAAAGTCCACGTTGTTTAAGCAGGAAAGCTCCAGCCCCAAAATGTCATTGTCCCAAATGAGCACAGAGTTCCCAAACTGCTGCTGCTTCCCCATCCTGAGCCCTGGTGCTGGAGGAGCAGGGCTGGAAAGGTCACGGGGAGTCAGCCTGGACCAATCTCTGCTGATGCCAAACTGTCCCCACGGGCACGTTCTTCAGTGGTCTCTGTAACCTCATTTTTAAATAAAGAGCATTTCCCTGTTTTCTTTGGGATAATATTCTCTTTTCCTAGGAGACTTTGTTCCTTTAACAGGTTTATTTATTTTAATTTCCCCCTCTCTGATTGTGGTGTGTGGGGTTTTTTTTTTTTTATCAAACTGATTTGGCTTTTTTTTTATCTTTGTGGCCATTTGTTGCAGTGAAGCTGTGTCCTGTAGTGTTCCATGGTCAGATAAATACCAGTCTTCACTGAAATTCATTTAATTCATTTAAACTATGCCAACTCTTTCTGTAATTTGTTAAATTATTAATACAGTTAATCTACACAAAGATACTGAAATACATCCTTTTTTAATTTATCAAATTTTCTTTAATTTGGCCATTTTGTTAAAACTCAAAGCAGTAGAGACTTCTGGAAAAAAATTATCACATTCATGCAACTCCAATTAATAGTTAGGGTTCTAAAAATAAAGGATTATTTAGTTTGGCATCTAAAAAACCCCTATAATTTAGAAATATAATTTATGGGAAGATTACATAGATCAGTGTAAAATGGGCTTTTTGTCTCTTTTTTTTTTTCCACTGTCTTTAATCATGAAATATTGGTGTAACTGAGTTAAACTGAAAGAACATGGAGGTGGAAGAGGAAGGCAAGAGGAGTGATGGGAGCTGTATGGTGCCAGCAGAACTGGTGTTAAATGGAATTTAAAGATATAAGATTGTACCAAGGCTTCAAATGAAGCATTTGTCTTTGCCAGGAGACAGTTACATACATGGGTAGCTTTCAGCTCTGGCCTCAGATGGTCTTGTGGTTCCAGGCAGATATTGTTCACTAGAAGGAGATTCTGCTCAGGTTTTGGCTTTCCTGAGGATCACATAAATCCCTTCACCCCACCAGGAGAAAAGCAAATGCTTACTCCTGGATTTGAGGTGATTCTCTACACGTGGGAAATATGGAAATTGAAATAACATCCAAATAACTTCTAATTATATGGAATACACTTATCACTTAAAAAAGTTTTTTTAAACAGTCTTTTCAACAAGTATCTGTCATTCCTAAACCTGTTGGGAGCAGTTAAACTAAGACAGGATTCTGACTTGCAATAGGCACAGAAGAACCAAAAATGAAATATTAAAAAATATTTTTGATGACAGCTTTCAATGTGGAACTAAAAAGGCTCTTCCCCTAGATGCTGAGGTTGCACAAGGATGCTGCTTTTCCCTGGTACCTATGATGTTGCTTCCTCAGATCTTTTTGAAGCTCTGTGGAGAGCATGGTTGGTGCCAGCCCTGCTTGGGCTGCAGTGGGGCTGCAGGTGCCTCAGAAGCTGCCTGGAGAGGAGGTGGAGCAGGAGAAAATAACCCCCAGGCAGGAGGGGAAATGAGTTCACCCTTTGCAAGGTTAATTGAAATCACCTCCCTGTGGTGAAAAGCCTTTCCCCCAGCAATTTCACCTCCTTGCTTCCCTTCCAGTCCAAGGGCTGGGGTAGTCCTGGTGGATAATTAGCATCCTGAAGATTGGGAAACCAGGTTCTCTTGTAGATACTGCTCATGGTGGTCCTGTCACTCACAATTAGAGTTTTTTAGTGTGATTTCAGAAGAGATATTACATCAACATGTGTGTGCTGCTATGGTTTAAAATAACGTGCTTGCAAGCAGGAGGTCAGGAAACCAGCTATGATAGTGGTCATGCTGGTTTGCTCAGTGAAGAAAATTAACCTGAGACATCCTCAGCTCAGCATAACGAGCAATAAGCTGAGGATGGTAGTGCCAGCATCTTGCCAGGATCATCACAGGGATCAATGGTGTTGACAGAGGATTGCCATGTTCAGAGGAACATCACAGGGTGGATCTGTGAAGTGCAGTTCTGCCTTTTGGGAGCTGTTTTAATGCAAATTTAATAGGACATGGTAACATTCTGAAAACCTGTTGATTAAAATGCTTTCAGCTGGTAGATAATCCTGGAAATATATTGAACAGGAAAACAAACCAGTGCTAATACCTATGTTACAGAGCAAAGCTACATCATTGCATATTCTATGTAAACTTTACAGCTAGAAAATGTGCAGAGGAGTTAATAGATTTTTTCAAAGGTAACTTTTTTCCCTAATTAGAGAAACCCAAATGAAAAATCTGTGTATGCTGGCTGCTTGCTGTTCAACTGCTTTTAGTTTTTCCTGTGCTTAAGCTAGCATTTAAATGGACCATTTGATTAATCATTTGTACACTGACTATAATACTCCCAAATTTCCTTTGAGTTGTACATACTGTAAAAGACAATTATGTCGCCACAGATTAAATAAGTGAATTAAACCAGAATAGCAGCTTAATTTGACCTGTGATTTTGCTCTGGTTCCCTTCAGTGGAACGTGTGCCACTCCAGCAAATAGATGAAGTCATCCATGACAGCTTGTGATGAATTGCCGTATTTATACTGTATATTTTAATAGCCTCACACTAATTTAAATTGAGCACAGAGTAAATTATAATTCAGTCACTTGACTGCTTGTATTTAACTTGACAACTCATCCTGATTTGTCCTGGAGGTGTAGTGGAGAGCAGGGGAAATATGCTCAGGTATTCGTATTTTTAAAATTAACCCTTTTCACTGGGAACTTGGGGTGTGTTGAATCCGCTATAAGCGTGCTAAGTGATTTTAAGATTGCTCTATTTTAGGCAGGGACTTGATGAGGAAGAAGTGCAGGAGTGCTTGGAGCCTCTTGGTGAATCCCAGAGGACCACCATGTCATTTAAGTTTAAAAAAATGCCCCCCTTGCCCTGTATCCTTCTCCAGCTCTGCCTGTTTTTTTTTTTTTTTTTCATTTGGGTTCTTTTTGTGCTTTAAGACTGTTCCCAGCCCATATTTAACACTGTCAGTTCACATAGTCTGAAAAGCTGTTTCACTATTACTAACTTCATTTTCTAAGTAGGCTTGGAAAATTTCTGCAAAAGGAGTATGACCATGGAGATGACAAATGCATTTGTACAAAGATATTTTTCCCTCTTTCTGCCCCATATTTCAGTGAGACAAGTAACATAAGGTTCCTCCAACCTTGACACCAGGTGGGTGTTTCTCCCGTGTTAAAAGTCACACAAGCCATAAGTGTTTAGGTGGGAGAAAACACTTCTGAGAAATAATTACACAGAGAAGGTGAGGCAGTGGTATCTCCTCATTTATTTTGTAGTGATATACAGTGGTCACACCACTCCAGTACGTTTCCAGGCTGCCCAGGGAGGTGTTGGAGTCCCCATCCCTGGAGGGGTTCAAAAAATCTGTGGACATGGTTCTTCTGGGCATGGTTTAGTGGTCATGGGAGCGTTGGGTTGATGGTTGGACTTGATGATCTTAGAGGTCTTTCCCAACCTTAATGATTCTATGAAAAAGGGTAGCTCTGCTTTTCCAGGTTGTCCTCACCATCAGAATGCAGGGTCTGTGTGTAATTATAGTTAATGGAGGTCAGCCAGAGCCCTTTCCTCATGCCAGGTCCTGGTTGATGGGCTGTCAGTGATGATCACACTGATGACTGCAGAGCTTGGGCTGGGAGCGAGGCGGGGAAGTTCCTCGCTGCGAGTAGAATTTCTTGAGATAAAATTTTAATTGTATCCTGTTAACAAGATTAAGTTCTATTAATATTCCGTGGGTAAAACTGATGGTATTCCAGCAAATTATTTAAAGTTTTTCACGCTGGAAAAATGTAAGTGAATATTGTTGGCAAACGATTATTGATCCTGACAAGTGTGTTAAACGCTTCTCAGCAGCCCTGTATTACACTTACAATTTACTTTAGTGACAGCTTTTATAAATAACCCTAAAGCAAACTCCTGATAGAAACAAGTTCTTTTTTTTTTTTTTTTTCTCCTTTTAGACAGATTTGGATACTGTAAAGTGTGTGTGTTTGGAAATGGTCTCTCTGTGTTTTGTTTCGTCAGCAGTGTATGCAGCTACAATATCTGTTCTGCTAATTCTGCAAATGGGCTGGGTTTTGTTTCCCTTCAGGTGAAGTATTAAGCTGTGAAATATTGTGTGATAGCAGATTGAGCCTGGCTAAATGTGCTTGGGGTCCATTTTGGTCCACATAGTAGTACTTAATAATGTGTATAACGTTATATACGAGTGGGAGTAAATATTAAAGAAACTGAAACGAGTGGTGGTAGGAGACACCACTGAGACTTTCAGAGATACTTTTAATCCTACAATACTTGTTTGGCCCTCAAAGTTAACACTAGCATGTTCAGCAAAGCCAACCAGGGTCGCAGCCTTCCAGGCTTGTCAAAGAACATCTTCTCCACGAGAGGAATTGGTGCTGGGCAGGTGAGGAGGTGGCTGCAGCCAGCAGGAGCTGGGAGGGAATCATGCTTGGGGTGAATAAGCAGCAGCTCAGAGTTCACCAGCCTGCTCTTTACACTATGGATGGGGCTTACGTTGAAGTTGTAACTCATCTCTTGGTCAAATGAATCAAACCACAAACATTATGACATTTCATGGATAAAATTGGCTGTATAACTCTAGTTTACTCTGTCCTTTCATTTCCATTTCCTTCTTTTGCCTATTGCTCTATTAAAATATTCTTTCTACCTAA